GGGAGGTGTGGAAAAGTACAAGCTTTGGTGACAAGGCACACGTGGGTTCACACTTGGCTCCATCACTTACTGCAGTCTGACCTCAGGCCAGTGGCCCAAACTTCACCCTTAACTCATTTCCTGAAGCAAATGAGCCTGTCTCCAACATCCCTCTCAAGTCAGCCCACTCCTTTCTGGCCCTTACTGCCTCAGCTTTGAGGTAGCCCCTCAACATAGGTTGCTACGTTTCAGTAGCCCAGTTGTTCTCAAACTTCAGCAAGCATCAGAATCACCTGGAGGGCTTGTTAAAACAGATTGCTGGACTCCACGCCCAGAGTTTCTGACTGTGGGTTTGTGGTGTAGCCCAAGAATATGCATTTCTACCAAGTTCTCCAAAGAGGCTGATGCTGCTGATCCAGGGACCACACTCTGAGAACCACTGCAGGAGCCTACCTGCTCACTTGATGATTTAGACTGTAAACTCCATGAGGGCAATAACCAGGTTTATTTTATTCCAGTTGTATGACCAGCCTCCGCACAGTGGCTGGACATAAAAGACACTTATTAATGTTGTATTAATGAATGAACTGAATGATCCTTGACCCCTGTGAGTCTAGTCTCCATAGTACAGCTAAAAAAAATAGCTGATTCAGTCAGTCTCCTTATAATCCATTAACAGCTCCCCATCATAATTTTCTCAGAATGGCACCTAAGCCTCTTCATATTTTGATCTCAACACACTTCTTCCAGCTTCTTATCCTAGCACTTCCCTAAACCAAAAAAACAAACAAACAAACAAAAAAACCAAACTCGTTGCCTTCGAGTTAATCCCGACTCATAGCAACCCTCCAGGACACAGCAGAACTGCCCCATAGGGTTTCCAAGGAGCGTTTGGTGGATTTGAGCTGCCTACATTTTGGTTAGCAGCCAAACTCTTAACTACTGCACCACCAGGGCTCCACCACTCCCGTCATGCCTCAAATTGCTTGTTATTCCCAGAATAGGCCAACTTTGGCTGAGATGTCTCCTTTCCTCAATCTCTACCAACTCCAATTCATAATTCAAGGTTCACTTATTCTAAGCAGCCTTCCCTACCCCTCTAAGCAGAGACAGTCACTGCCTTCTCTGTGCTCCCACTGCACACACTTCTTTACAGTATTTATTATATACTATGATGGGATAATTTTAAAACATGTTTCTGAGAAAATGTTGAGTAAGCTCTGGGAGTGAAAGGTGTTTCATGTCCTATTCCTCCATGAAACTACGAGTTCACAAGGTTTTCAACATTTTCAGGTTTCAGGGCCCAGCGCATTGTCTAGATCTGTTATTTTTAGGTGCCGTTGAGTCAGTTTTGACTCACAGTGACCCTATGCACAACAGAACAAAACAGTGCCCTGTCCTGCACCATCCTCACAATCGTTGCTATGTTTGAGCCCACTGTTGCAGCCACCGTGTCAATCCATCTCCTTGAGGGTCTTCCTCTTTTTTGCTGACCCTCTACTTTATCAAGCACAATGTCCTTCTCCAGGGACTGGTCCCTCCTGATATCTAGCCTAATATCTAGCCATTATTAATAATGTTTGTTGACCAAATATATTAATAGATGAAGAGCCAAGTGAAGGGATTCAATGAGATAATTATCTAGATAATTTAAGTATGAGCCTTAAGCCCTCCCCTGCCAGGCCCCTTGAGCTTACACAAACAGGAGAATAATTAGTATTATCTCAGTATTTCAAGGTTATCCACAGACAATCCCTCCAAAGCAATATAGAAACTAACCTGTCCGGCATCTCAGATTCTAAGAGCCTCTGAGTCATTCGACCATTCAACAAGTTTTTACAAAGCACCTATTCTGTGACAGGCTGTCCACCCTCCCAGCATGGGCCTTTTTAAGGATTCTCTGACTCACAATCCTCGGCAATTCAAGCCAGAAGTCACTTAGAACTTAAAGTGCTTAGAACAGTGCCTGGTAGACAATAAGTGACATAAAGTGTTTGCTATTATTACTATTGTGCCCAATGCACAGAAGACGGAAGATCAGAGAGGTGAAGTCACTTGTCAAGCAACACAACAAATAAGCGCAGGGCCACACCTGCTGGAAGGCAAGCAAGGTCCTGGGCTCCAAATCTCACTAAGTTTCCATCATTTGACCGTGCTGCATAAAACAGCAATTGAATTCCAGACCTAGTTTTAAGAAATGGCTCGGCCTTCAACTCGCTGGCCAAAGCACTCCATGCTCCGGAGCTCAGTTTCCCCACATGTAAAATGGGAAGTTTGATCTCTCGGGGATGGCACTTGCAGAAACACCGTCACGCTCACAACGATCCGAGTTAGACGGGGAAAGAAGTACTGCCCTCATTTTACAACAGAGGAAACAGACTAGGAGATGGGTATTGGCCAAGAGTTTATATGGCTGTGACCCCGTCCCACTTCAAGGACAGGATGCATGTGGGAAAACAGGCATCAGGGTCCTAGACCGCCGCCCACAACCGGGTCTTCTCTTCACTCCGCTGTCCCCCGCCCATGACTAGTCCCTCGCTGATACCCACGCTCACCAACTGCTGTTGTAGCCAACACCGCCCGCGTGACCGCCGTGCCGGGCCAGCGCGCCTGCGTGAGAGGCAGCGCCCGCCCTCAAGCCCCGCCTCTTTACTTTTCGCCAATCACAAAGCCGCGCTCTCCGAGGCTGGGACGAGGACGCTCTGGCCCCACCCGATTCTAGGCGCTAGTGAGAGGCTTTCCGGAAGCTTAGCCAAAGAGAGAGAACTCAGCTTTTCCCCAGGATCATAGATTGGCCTGGGCAGCAATGAATAAATCACCGTTCCGGAAGTGCCCTCTAGGAATTAGAGAGGTGTAACTCTATGATCAAAGCCGATCTCATTGGTCTTGAATCTGGTGTTACCTTTCACTGTCAGGCACCCCGCCACTCTGTCCGAATAGGGTGACAGCCCGTGATGGTGTAACCATGACAACACACTGGGCAATGTAGTTTCGCATCTACCCTATGATTTTACAGGCTTTCAATTTAAATAACTTTAGATTTTTTGAATAAAAAAATTAAAGAGCTGGAAAAGGGCTTTTTTTTTTTTTTTTTTAAACAAAGCCCAAGGCATTCTTTAAAACTTGAAATCAAACATTCATTCACAAAATATTTATTAAGCAGCTACCAGGTACCAGGCACTGTTCTAGACACCGAAACTACCGCAGTGAACAAATCAGCCTAACAAAAATCCCTGCCTTCAATGTAGTTTACATTCTGGTGAGGGGAGACAGTCAATAAACCAATACACGAGTGAAATAAAAGAAGTATGTCAGAATCTTTAGGGCCAGGAATAGGATGAGGCAAATGAAGTACTTGCCAAGGGCACAAAATTTAAGGGAGTGCCAAAAAACTCAGCAATCAAGACAAAGAATATCTTAATGCAACATTTTTTAAAAGCTAAAATTAATGCAAAATTCATTTGCATTGTTGATGTTTGAAAAAATATGAAAATTTTAAATAAAGACAGGATCCATCAGTCAGATGGTGTTAAATGCTACAGAGAAAAATAAACCCGGGAAGGGGAATGGAATGGAGGGTGAGTGTTTGCTGTGTAAAATAGGATGGTCAAGGAAAGCCTCATGGAGAAGGTGACATTTTAGCAAAGACCTGAAGAAGGTGAGAGACAGCCTTGCAGCTATCTGGGGGAAGAATGTTCCAGAACAGAGGGAACACGTGCAAATGTCCTGAGGTGGGAGCTGCATATTATTTGTTGTTATTAGGTGCCGTCAAGCCAGTTCTGACTCATAGCGACCCTGTGTACAACAGAATGAAACACTGCCTGGTCCTTTGCCATCCTCACAATCATTGCTATGTTTCAGCCCATAACTCTACCTAATTAATAACACCACCACTCGTCTGTGAGTTTGTTGTACTGTGGAGGCTTGCACGTTGCTATGATGCTGGAAGCGACGCCACCAGTATTTTAAATCCCAGCAGGTGTACGCGTTTCAGTAGAGCTTCCAGATTAAGACAGACTAGGAAGAAAGGCCTGGTGATCTATTTCCAAAAATCAGCCAACAAAAACCGTACGGATCACAAGAGAATATTGTCCAATATAGTGCTGGGAGATAAGCATCCTAGATAGGAAGGCACTCAAAATACACAGTAGCTGCCACAATGGATTTGAGCATACCGACAATCGTGAAGATGGTGCAGGACCAGGCAATGTTTCACTGTGTTGTACATAAAGTCACCATGAGCCCTAGCCGACTCAATGGCAACTGACAACAACAACAACTAACAGCTATGGTTTATTGACTGCCTAAAATGTGCCAGACCCTGGTGATGCCCCATAGGGTTTCCAAGGCTGTAATCTTTATAGAAGCAGACTGCCACATTTTTTCTCTCATGGAGCAGCTGGTGGGTTTGCACTGCCGACCTTTCAGTTAACAGCTAAGTGCTTAACCACTGTGCCACCAGGCTCTTTACTGGTGATTCTCCTGGCGCTAAAACGCTCACAGCCTGCCAGGACCTACAAAGAATGACACGGTGTGATCAATGGTGTAATGGGGGGGCTGAGAAAAGTCCTGTGGGAGCACAGGAGAGGGGGGCTTCACTGAGAAGATGACCTCTGAGCTGGGTCTGAAGGATGAATGGGGCTTACCAGAACAAGAATGGCAGGAGGTTGGGGGCAGGGAGTAACCAGGCAGAGGGACCAGGATAGTTGAAGGCCCGAATAAGGAAATGATAAGCAGTTGTGAGGGAAGTACGGAGGCATGGTGAGGTTAACATCTTTGTTTCTTACAGCTCCTAACACAGTGCTTGATACACAGGCCTGAGTGGTGGTTCTCAACCTTGGCTACATTGGAACCACTGTGTGTTCCCACCATAGAGACGGTGGGTATTGATCTGGGGTGGGCTCAGGCATCAGAATTTTCTAGTCCCTCAGACAATTGATCCTAATGTGCAGGCCGGTGTACAGGGAAGTCACTGGACAACCTGGGGTGGGCGTGGGATGGACACATGTTGTCATCTGCTTTTACAGATCAGGCAAACCACACGACTGGCACGTGCCCACCAGCTAGGAAGCCGGGCAGAGCTGGGCTGGACTGTGCCCTTTTGTCTCTAAGAGCCTTGCTTGTCCTCTGCATCCCAACACTGTGGTTGGAGCTTTCCGCAAGCAGGACAGTCCCAAAGGTTTCACTGGGCAATATCTCCACTCCTGCTTTTGTGGGGATGAGGGGGGACAGTTGGGTGAATGACTTCCTCGGTATAATTCGGAGTCCACGTATTCCAAGCAGCCTTCTATTTCTCCCTGCTCCCTGTGCGCGCTATTACTTCCATTCCAATCTTGGAAAAGCCAGGCATCCGTCCTCTGCACCCTGAGGTGTTAATTATTTCTCAATTAGCAGTTCCCAGGCTGTAGAGCATAGTGGTGTGGAGAGGCCTAATGACTTGCCGTGTTTATATACCCCCACATCTTCAGAGCACTTTACCAATGGTAACTAATTAATGCTCACGACTCCCTTGGGAGGCAGCAGGCCCAGATTGCTGCATTTCACTTCCAGTTTGCAGGAGGCTCTGCAGCCTGGAGTTGCAGAGTCGACTTGAGCCAGCCAAGGCGAGAGTGGATTTGCTCCCCATTGAGAAAGCTGAGGGTGGTTAAATCTGGCCCTATCGCTGCTAGCAACTTCATGTGTGCCATTTCAATCAATGGATAAGTCATTATTGGGTGCTTTGATTTATAGAGCTCATTCCTGGAAAAAACTTCACAAATTCCCTAAAACAGAAAACAAAAGGTCTCATATTTTTAATCAATTCATCTATTCATCAAAAAATAAACAAAAAAGGGGAGGATCCTACACGTGCCTTCGGGGAATTGGCAGTTCAGTGGTAGACTTCTCTCCTTCCACATGGGAGACTCAGGTTTGATTCCCAGCCAATACACCTCATGCACAGCCACCACCCATTTGTCCATGGAGGCTTGTGAGTTGCTATGATGCTCAACAGGTTTCAGCAGAGTTCCAGACAAAGATGGACTGGGAAGAAAGGCCTGGTAATCACTTATGAAAATACAGCCAGTGAAAACGCTGTGGATCACAATGGTCTGTTCAGCAACCAACGATGGAGATGGCAAAGGACCAAGCGGGCAGCATTTTGTTCCATTGTGCATGAGGTCACCGTGAGTCGGGGGCCGACTGGACAGCAGCTAACAACAACGCTATTTGCCTTGGTGCCCCACAGCCTTGGGAACGCACTATGCACTTAGTGGTTTGCACTCGTCACTGACCAGACTGGAAGCCCCTTGAAGGCAGGCACAGATTTTACTCTTTTCTGTATCTGCAGCCCGAGCAGAGGACCTGGCCTAGTGTCAGGGATTA